GTCCTCACCTCTGCCTCCAATCACTCCTCCTGCTCCTGGTCCTCCCCTGAGCATTGATCCACCCTGTAGATCAATTCAGGAAGTGAGTGTCACTCCATGGAAGGTTATGCCTTCCAATACATCTGCATCCTCAGGAAGAGAAATTCCTCTGGGAGACATTCCATACTGGAACATCAGAGATACCAATGGCAATTGGCAGCCCAGTTATTCAAGCCTTGTGGTCATCCCCACACTCCCAAAGGCAACTACTCGCCCCTGGGTGACTCTCTGACACTTCCTGTGTCATTGTCTCCCCCTCCCACTTCAGTTCCTCTCCCTCACATCAATCTGCATCCCAAATTGAGTCAAGAGATGAGGTTCACCCCATGGGAGGTCTTGCCTCCTGAATTGAAAGTGGTACACACCACTGTAAATTCACATGCTGGTATTCCCAGGCCCTTAAAAAGGGACTGGATGAACCGAGTTGCTGTCCAGCGACTCCATGAACAAGATCTCTGAGAAGTTGGAGATTCTCAACTCATATTCCCACTCTAGGATGTTCCTCCAAGTCAGCATTCAAGAAGTTGGCCTATTGGCGTTAGCAAGAAATCTTGCCAATTATGTTGGTTACTTCATCTCACTTACAACAAGAGACGTGAAACTCAGTCCCAGTTTGTACTCCCAGGTACTCATGGTACCTTCTGTGCTTGGCTTCCTCCACCTGGGATCCCTGATGATATCTTGCTTGAACTTTGCGATGAGTTGCTTGCCGCATGCAAGACATTTGTTCCAGGTCATTCCAGACACAGCTCTGCTAGCTCCGCCACAAATGATGGGCCTGTTGAACAGGAAACACCAGACAAGTTCCCTACTGCCATATCCCAAAGTTACCAAAGGTACTAGTGGAATTGGAGCTTCTATAACGTTGGTAGATACAATGGACTTTGATGTTGTACTTGTATGTGCCAAAAAATCTTGACTCCCCCCCCCTTACTCGGAAATTTTCTTATTCACAATATTTACATTTGTGCTATTAGTATTATTAACAATTAACGTATTATGCCTCTTACACAGGAAAATCTTACAACCAACTGTATGACTAAAATCACCGACTAAAATGCTGTGCTGGCTTCAGGGCATCCCAGGGCACCCAAGCAACCAGGGCAGCCTAGGATTTTAGCCAAATCCTGAGGACCTTTGGCTTGCTTGAGGCTAATTCCTGAGTAACTTCAGAGATGCTCAAGGATCCCTAGAATTAGGCCAAAGTCCTGGGCTACCTGGGGTGCTTGGGCTGCCTAGTGATGCCTAGGAATTGGCCAAACTCCTGGGCATCCCTGAGAGTGACCAGGCACCCCTGGACTTGCCTGGGCTTTAGGTAGTTTTCCAGATGCTGCTGTTCCCAAAACATCACTGGGACTCTGGCCTGCAGGTTCTCAGAGAATCAACACATGAAGTTCAAGAGAAGGCAATGCCAAACATAACCTCACACATTTTGAATTTCTTTTAGATTCCATATAGTTATGGAAAACACTGTAATCCAAAAGGTTTAATTAATGTGAGGAAGGAGGTTGTCAAAGGTTCCCTCTACTACTATTTGAGTTGTAAAGAAAGCACTTGACAGAGGCACAGACAGTGAAATGAACAAGGTTTGTATGGAAGGAAGGTTTGTGAAAAGTCAACTAATGTATGCCAATGCACTGAACTAATCAAGGGGAAAATATGAGCACCAAGGCATGGGTCAAGTATGCTGACTCAACAAACAACTTAGCATATCCAAGGTGAAACACCCAAGCACAGGTCAAGTACGCTGACTCAACAAACAACTTAGCATATCCAAGGTGAAACACCCAAGCACAGGTCAAGTTTGCTGACTCAACAAACAACTTAGCATGAATTGGGAGCCTTTATGTTGCCGCGCAATGATACTCCAACTCTCAGGGAATCCTGCAAGTTACCTAACAAGCTTATACAACCACTGCACAAGCCACTTGAGTAGGTGTTTTAACACACTCAGTGAAGAGCAGGCAAGAGATAAATGAGTTGGTAAGCTAGCTAACACTTCAAGGAGCTTCCTCACTAAAACTACACCAAGCCAACACTTGGGTCCAAGACCTTTCCTAATTGACAATGGGCTCAGCAAGATGTGCATGTTAGGCTCCACCTGTGGTCCTAAGACTGATGTGACTTCCCTCTGAGATGTAAACCAGGAATGCTCAACTTAATAGCCAGGAAGTAGATTGAATTGCCTCAGTGTTATCAAGGTTACAAGAATGCCACCCATTTCAAAGGTTGTATAGAACAATCTTATCCTCCTGGAGATGTTGAATACTATACAGGTCCTAAGATAGAGCTGTGATTCAGGTATCAAGCCTAACTTGTCATTCCAAGATAGAGTAGCTACCCTTATATACTGAGTAAGATATAATAAATAGGAAAATGAGAGAAACTGAGCAAGATAAGATGAAACAGAATAAGTAAATAGAAAAAGAAAAAATAATATCCATATATGTGTGTATACTATGGTTTTGCCTTGTCCATTCCTGCCTTATTCAACTTGTCTTCCTTGATTAGGTCAACTTTAGGGATTTTGGTCTAAATCAACTTGAGTCATTTGCCTTTTACAAAGCTCGCCAGTTCTTTTAGTAGAACAGCCCTCAGAAGTATTCTATGTTTTTCCTTGCCAATGGGAACTTGGTTATTATTCTAGCTCCGCATGGTTCTCAAGTCTAGATGCTTGGTAGCATATGGATCTTGGGAAAATGCTGAGGCTTGGAAAGAGATTCATCCTAGTTGTTTTGTGCTCCTGAAGTAGCTACAGCAAGTTTGGTCATGTGGCTGCATTGGCTTGCCATGACAAGTTTGCCTGGGCACTTTTGTACTGATGAGTGTCAACTTTGGGGGCACCAGTTAAGGCCCTTACCCATCTCAGTCAACCCTGCTTTGTTAATAGAACTGAGTGTCATGAAGACTCCTCAGTGAGCTGATTGCAGAAGCAATGTCTTGGTTAAGACTTTGATCCCCTTGAGTATATCCTTCAATGACCTAGCCTAGTATAGCTTGTACGTGGGCTCATTCATCTGCCTTGGTCAGCAACTTGTTATCCAACAAGCTTACCTCCCTACACCATACTATGTATAGGACTCTGATTGAGGTGCATTCACAAAGTTAAGTATGGTACCATTATGCATACTGTTACTCTGCAACCTCTTGGGTACAATAGGCCCTTGATAGATTTTAACTATTAGCTTGGGCTCACTATAGTTCTCTTATTGACCATTTTTTGTTACAAACAGAATTTAGGATTATCAGTTCTGTGCAGTTCTAGCCTTAGCCAAAAAATTGGTGTATCACCGCACTGAACCCTTGCAGTTCAGTGCAGAGAACAATCAAACCTATTTTAGAGGTGCACCAAGGATTGAACCTGTGAACCTTGGCACTTGAGCCAACATCTGCACCCATAACTCTGCACTTCAGGCTACCCCTATATAGGACAAGTTAGTCTGCCAAAGACCATAAAATCCTGAGTCTAAGTAGACCTAAATCCTGTGGACATCCTGAGGTCAGGACTCCTGGATGGGCAGGACCCCTGGCACCAGTCAGGAATCCTTGTAGCTCAGGAATTCTTGTAGCTCAGGATTCCTGAAATTTTCTTTTTTCTTTTTTCTTTCTAGTGCACCTCAGCCTTCCCAGGGCATCTCATGTTTCATAGGTGTCAGTGTCCCTTGGGCTTTCTAAGTGGTTAGCCTCATTCTCAGTATTGTTTTATGTCTATCTACACAAGCATAGCATTTTACTCCTGTCCAACAATACTATTGCATTTCATTCAATTCAACATGCCTTGTGACCTGTGACTGCTATGTTGAAATTATGATGTTTACAAAGTTCCTTAAAAGGCAATATTTGTAAGCTTTTTTGGCACTAAAGCTGGTCAAAGCTGTCAATTTTGGACAAATTTTGTGTGATGATCTGTGACCACTGTGACATTTTACAAGATTTCAGAGACCCATAACCCATGACTGTCTAATTGAATGAAATGGGACAGAACTGTACCATTTGAATTGATTTGGCAGTCATAGGTCATGGAAGGCTTCTGACATGCTGAAATTTGAACAGGTAACAGGTCATATTTTGAAATTTTTGCTGGGATCATGTGGCAGAGCTGCAAGGTGCCAAATTCAAAATTTGTTCACATTGGTCATGGTTACAAGGGGCTGCCAAATCAATCAAAATGGTACAGTACTGTACTTCTATGTACAGAGGTGACAATAACAGTCACAGAGATCTTGTTGCATTACCAATCTACCATGGTGTCATGATCCAGTTTGGCTCTGTTGCTTAACTTTCAATTGTGACATACATACTAGCAAAACTGGGAATAAATGAATTAATTTGGTCACATATCTCACATCCATGACTGGGTCTGTTGTTTAAGTTCAGACCATGGCATGCACATGACTGTTTCCTCTGCACATGGTCTATAGAAATACAGTACTGTACTCTTACAAAATTGAGTTCTGTAACTTGTAAGGCAGGCTCCTGAACTGGAGGACTGTACCATTTCAATTGCTTCATTGGTCACAGGTCACAGGGGCCCCCAATGAAACAAAATGTCATGGTTTGTCCCATGTCACAGTGGTCAGTGACAATTTCTTTTCAATTTTTGCAGGTGCCTACTGGATGCCTAATGCAAATTTGTAGGAAATTTTTGTAAAATTTTTGTTTTGTCAGTTCCCACTGATCCCAAACAAAATCTAAATTCATTCAGTTGGTCACAGGTCACACCCCCAAATGAAGTGCTCAAAATGGTACAGTAGTCAAGTAGACCCCTATAAATTGAACCAAATTGAACTGAGTTTCAAGTTCATAACACTGTCTGGTTATGGCTGAACTTATTATCAGTGTATAATGTACTATAATTAGTGCAAAAATGTTTCAACTCCTAGTTCATTCTAACATAATAAAAGATGCAAGCATACTTTGTGATTTTAGTGAAAATTGTGTGAACCAATAACAATTAAATGTACTGTTACCTGGAATGAAACCAGGGACCTTCCAGTAAATGTCCAACATGTGGACTATTTAGCCTGCATGTTCTGACCACTGAGCCATAATAGCTTGATCACACTCACAGGAGTCCTGAGTGGTCAAGATGACCCCTGACTATTCAAATTAATCAGAGGAGGTGGATAAGATAGAGGACATGTTTTCAAAGGCTGAAAAAGAGTGTTCCTTAGTTCTGAATGGTCAGGAGTCCTTTAAAACAGAAGTTGTGCAAAAAATACACCATGACTCCTAAGTAAACAACAACAAAAACAGATTAGCCACAATCAAAAGCTGCCACCTGGATTCAAACCAAGGTCCTTCATAATACTGCAAAGACACTCTAGCCAATGAGCTATAACAGCTTTATAGATTGATGGATCCTGAACTGCTGGGAGTCCTAGAAGCTTATGTGTAAAAGTCTGACCTTACGTATTCTGCCAAAGGAGCCTATGCAACAGATGACAGGAATGTATAGTAGTGCTCTAATAACTCAGCTTGACATAACGTGGCTTGACTTTAAATGACTTCAGCTTTAAATGGCTTGACTTGCCAAAAATGGCAACCACTGGCTTGGCTCAGTCACAGCTTGCATCAGTCAAGAGCAGTTCGTCAGGGGGTGTGACCTGTGACCCACCTGACAAAAATTTGATTTTGTCAAGGCCTCCGGTGACCTGTGACCAAGTTGGAATCTTTGTGAAATTAGTGCTTTTGCCCTAAAATGTAGGGCAAACATGGTGGTGCCAGAAAAAATATTTCCAGCAAACCAAAAGCAAGCTACATTGAGGTGCGGAATTACCCAATAATAATCTAAAAGTGTAACAACTCCTGGGGAGTTGAGAGCCTTATTATCACACACATGAGTACTACTGGATTTATTCAGGTATACTTGCGAGGTGATGGTAAAAAGCTAAGGTAATTGTACTATATAATTATTATAATACAGATTATTGGCAGGTGCGGGAACACACCACCGCCTGTAGAGACTGAGGTCCTGCCAATCAGGGATCGGGGGTGCTACACCCTCCCCAGCCAGATTGAGCCTACAGTTCAACCAAAAATGAAAGGGGGCCCCCAACTGGTTTGATAGTGTGTCAACCCAGCTGGAGCATATTTGTGAGAACTTCAACTTGATAGTTGAAGCTGGGAACATATTCACAATAGCATGTTGTGAACATATCCTGGGATTTCAAATGCATGGTAGCATGCGATGTATTCAGAAATGGGAGTGAAGAACACAGTCATGTGTAGCATATAACTCATATCCCAGACTAGGGTCCATTGTATGGAACATAGTCAGCCATTGAAGGGAAAAGATAGTTATATCTTTTACCATTTCAAAGGTAATGCCTTGGGAGTTGCTGTCCAGCAACTTGGTCCATCCAGTCCCTTTTTGAGGGCCTGGCTGTGCCAAAACGTGAATTTAGCAGTGGTACTGTGTACCACTGTCAATTTGGAAGGCATGGCCTTCCAAGGGGTGAACCTCACCTCTTGAATTGATCCAGGGTGTGGATTGATGCAAGGGGGAGGGGCATGAGTGGGAAGAGGAACTGGAGGGGGAGGTGAGGACACGGGAGGTGTCAGAGTGTAACAACTCCTAGGGAGTCAAGAGCCTTAATATCACACAAACGAGGACTACTGGATTTATTCAGTGGGTTACTCACGAGGTGATGGTATAAAGCTAAGAGATGCTATATAATTATTATAATATAAGATAACCAGCAGGTGCAGGAATGCGCTGCTGCCAGTAAAGATTGAGTTCCTACCAATCAGGGATTGGGGGAATTACACCCTCCCCAGCCAGATTGAGCCTACAGTTCAATTGAAAAGGAAAGATGGGCCCTGGCTGTTTTGATAGTGTATCAACACAGCTGGAGTGTGGATGTGAGACTTCAACTTGATAGTTGAAGTTGGGAACATATTCATGACAGTGTGTCATAAACATATCCTGGGATTTCAAACATACAGTAGCATGCTATAAGTGTTCAGAAATGGGAGTTAAGGACATGGTCATGTGTAGCATGTAACTTGTATCCCAGACTAGGGTCCATTGTATGGAACATAGTCAACCATTGAAGGGAAAAGATAGTTATATGTTTTACCATTTCAATGGTAATGCCTTGAGAGGTGTAAAACAAGGCTACATCATCCAATGTGGCATTATCAATGTCACCTATATATGGTGATGTTGAGAATTTCGAGACAATATTTGTCTCATCACATCCAGTAATGGATGCGTAAAGTCCCAGAGTAGTGAACAACTCCACTGTTCATAAGGTGAAGCGATGCAGCTTCACCTTGGGAGTCCCCACTGCTATAACTGGGGCATGGTTACTTACTAGTAACCATCCCCATACATTACGGGTGAGCGTATGATCATTGTGATCATGCTTTACGCCAGTAGGACATCGGTTGGGGTACATCTGGATGTACCGTACCTAATCCTCTGGCAAATCATGTTTCAAGAGATTTTTAATCCCACATACTTGAGATGTAGAGCGAGCTAGTGTATTTCTACACTGGTCCTCCTCCTCTCAAAATGAAAAAATGCTTGCTTGTGAACATTGTACATGTTCTGAGCTTGCCCCGATGAGTTTTCAAAACCCGTTGTACTTCACTGACAGGTTTGGCCCCCACTATTTCTGGATGGTGGGTCTTTCCCACTGTCCAGGAGTCTATCAATGGGGTACCCATCAATATTTTAAGAAATTCCCTGATCAGGGAATTGAGAGTAGCTAAACTTGGCATGAAAGGTTGGAAGTCCCACCTTTACTGTAACAATCCAGTCCATGAGTGTCGCTTCAGCATGAACCTTCACATTCAAGGTTCAGAAAATGACATCCCAAGCAAAAGCAATATCAAGGTTGTCTGCAGGTCCCTGCCATTCTCAAAGCAAAGACAACACTTTGTTGGCATCAAAAGCAGTAGGATTAAATGGAGCACCACTGTAATAAAATTGGGAGAGCTTCCATTGAACTGTTTGAAAATGTGTTGCTTTTTTGGCAATATACTTGCAGGAGGTTTGCCAGTCCAGGACAGTTCTCATAGCATGCAGAAGATGATCCACAGATGTTTCTTGAGTCCAGAAACCTAAGGATTAATGTAGCACCTAATGATCACTACAAGGAACAAGACTCACGGCTATTCAACATTGACTCCAAATTATCTTTGTCATGGTCATCAGTATCTGGTTCTACACTCTTGTCACCATCACCATCAGTCTGGAGCTAGACTTGTCACCACTAGACTTCAAAATGCATGAGAGATATGCTGAGTGCTCTGGAAACACATGAGCGCAACAATCAAAAGTGAAAGAACTCTTCAACTTACCAGTCTCAGCTAAAGCACCAACAACCCCTTCAGCAGATAAAAGATGCTGAAGCACAGGCATCATGGCTTCCAAACCCATTAATGTAATGACTATCTCACGGACCGCCTCAGGGGTTGGCGGTATCTCCCTGACCTTAGGTTTCCCTTCAGCCAGCAACTCCTTCTGCAGTGTTTCCCAAAATGTGTAGAGCACGTTAAGCCATTGGAGGGCATTGTCAGAATTGACACAATATACAGGCTTTGAGTTGGTCTCTGAAGATGGTTGTGATGGCATATGCATCTGGATGAAGTTGTTAAAAACCTCTTTGAATGTAAAGTCTTTTGATTCCAACTCAGGTTCTGCTAGGCAGTTGAAAATGATATTGAATGGTGATTTACCCCAGTGTGTGGAAAAGTCTAGGACTTGCCAGCCAAGTTTTTGATAAGCGTGGTGATGGATGAAGTGTTGGAAATGCTTCAGATCTTCTGATTCACCAGGCTTCAGGGAGACAATCACATTGAACAAATCTTGAAGGTGCGCTCCAAAAGTAAAGTTATTGAGAGTCATATAAGTTAGCCATTCAATTGATAGATGTACAACCCACTTTGCGAGTATACTCGCCCCAATAGTAGCCCTCTCCCACCACTCATTAAGTAGCTCCTTGCCATGGACTGCATTCAGGATGACAGGTCTTTCTGCACCATTGGTAGAGTCCTCTTTATTCTCTCCTGCTATCTCTATGCTCTCTGTAGGACTGTCTATGCCCTTATCATTTCCACCCTGCGGAGGATTTCCTTTGAGACATTTTCTGATGTCTCTGGCCTTGTCAGCATGCTTTCCAGCATTCTCAGCACAGACAAGGAATTGTACAGCAGTCTGGCTAGTTTCCCCAATAACTGCATTCACATTCTCTGCTCAGCAGTTAGACACATTGCCATTAGCAAGAAGCATAGAGATATGAAGATAAAGCAACATGGTGGCATCCTTTTGGTGAGGTTCAGAAGGGATGCTCTGCTTGCCACTAAGGTAGGTAGAAAGAAGAAGAACATCCAACCTGAGACTGCCGGTGAGAGGTGCAGGCGATTGCTGAGGGTCTGCCATGGGAGAGGGAGAAGAGGGAGAAGAGTTGTCTTGGCAGTTACTCTCACGGGTCCTCCAGCTGATCACAATTGGATATGCCAAGCAACTCCCTTTAAGGAAAAAACCAATCAGCTAATAGTGTCAGCATCATTACATTAAGCGCGCATCACCTGCTCATTGCAATGATGCTTGTTCCTGTTTGGTTAACTGTTTCTGCTGCTCGCAGGCCCCTGGAATCTCCTACTCAAGCATTGGGGTTAATCTTGTGTCACATGAGTATCAGAATAGAATGACAAAAAGCCATAAGGAGGTAATAATTAATACAACATCAATGTCCAGTGTATTCCCCAACTTTACAAAAGCTCCAATTCCACTAGAACAATTTGGATTCGGATCTGAGGATGTCACCAAAAGCATGAGGGCCAAGTAAAATTGGGAAATTGTCAGATGTCACATCACTTGCCACGGAGCTAGCAGAACTGTGTCTGGAATGACCTGGAACAAATGCCTTGCATGCGGCAAGCAACGCAACACAAAGTTCAAGCAATTGTCAAGCAAGATATCATCAGGGATCCCAGGTGGAGGAAGCCAAGCACAGAAGGTACCATGAGTACCTGGGAGTACAAACTGGATTTTATGTCTCTTGTTGTAAGCAAGATGAAGTAACCAACATAAGCAGCAAGATTTCTTGCTAATGCCAATAGGCCAACTTGAACGCTTACTTGGTGGAACATCCTAGAGTGGGAATATGATTCTGAGAGTAGCTAAACTTGGCATGAAAGCTTGGAAGTCCCACCTTTACTGTAACAATCCAGTTCATCAGTGCTGCTTCAGCATGAACCTTTTGAGCTTGTCACCAGAATTTAAAGAAGATATAACATCAAACAAATCACGGAGGTGCTGTTCAAAGGTAAAGTCACTGAGTGTCATGTATGTCAAAAAATCGCAATTCAATAGATAGATTTATAGCCCACC